CACGAATTGTACAAAATAATTAATAATATAAAGAATGTGAAACTCGTATAGAAACCCAGGAACTGATTCAAGATTATGGTTAAAAGACAACTGTGAACAAGTCCATGAAGATGCATACAGAAGGCGCATAAGGGATGGTAAATAAGGGATGGTAAATAAGGGATGGTAAATAATTTAGGAATTTGTGAATTTTAGAAAAGGGTAACGGCATCAGTTATCTTTCCTTGATCACCTAGGGGAATTACTCTACTTGAACTACTTCAGTGAAGTTTGGGATGAAAAACCATTACATCCCCAGATTTTTGTTTTGACAGCAGTCATTAGATAATTAGATTTAGAAAGCACGGCGAACAACTGAATAAAAGGTGACAAAAGTGGAAAAATGGTAAATTACGTACCTGGAGCCGCAGTAACAGCTGGTTGAGTTGGAGGTAGAGTTGTTGGTACATCAGTTGGTCTTGGTGGAAATGTTACTAAAAATACGTTACTATATATATTATAACTACATGTATTTAGATTCTGAATTAAAACTTTAATCATCGTCAGTTTGTATATTTGAACATCCACAAAGGGCCCTTTCTTTGGAGACGAAACACAAATGTTTTATGCGAGGAAAGTGGAATGGAGATTTCTAAAACATTGTCCATTTCAAGGCAGGTAACTATTGAAATGGAGCGACTCTGTTTATGATTATCCGTAGCACTTACAGATGGACGATTAGAATAAGGAAGAAGGATGTCTTATTCAAAGTCGCCAGAAACTCGTTAGATTAAAATGGTGACAGCAATTTTATATAAAGACCTATATTTACCACAGATTGATCGACCAAGTTGGAGAAAAGATGGTATGATGAGGTTAAAGTCGGCTAACGTCTTGACTTTATCAGAACCAGAAGCAACGTCCTGTAATTCTTGATCAATGACACTATTACCAACACCAAGTGCATAAACATCAACTCCGTTAGTTTTAGTTTTTTCAGCTGCAATCTTGGTCAGTGCCATATTATCGGAGTAACCATCTGTGATGACCACCATTACTTGGTTAGTTCCAGGTCGGCCTCTCTGTTCCAACATCAGTCTACCTGAAAAATTTAACCTTAACAATATTTATATTATCAAAAAAAGAAAAAAAAAAAAGAAGGATCCAAACTGCAAAACGAAACTCAAAATTCAAAATAACAGTTTGGCAATACATTGGCAAGCCCGTAGAATGACCTGATTGTTCGGAGGGGCAAGTAATATATACGGAGGGGCAATGGTGTAGATGAGGTATTTTTTCAACGGGTGGGGGGGGGGGACACCTGTAGCTATGGCCTTGTACAGTGGCTGCAGCATGTGAATTCATAATATATACTATTTAGAAATAAGGAAGTATTTCATGTCTATACCATTAGTATTAATTCATATATACATTGATTGTTTTTACTAACTATATGTTTATTATTCCATTGTTTATTATTCTATGTATCATTACCTTCGTCAATTCCCAGATCTGTTCGAGTTCCACCTTCTGGATAAGGTAGGTTTGTTATTGCTGTAGACAGAGAACTCAAGTCTCCTGTTAGGTTGATGTTATCAACTGGATTCACACTAGAACTGAAGGTTACCACTCCAACGTTGATTCCGCTCTCACTTACCGGCAGATCAGTAGCAAATTGAACCAGGTTTCTTTTCAGTGAGTCGAAGGCTGTCATGCCAATAGACATTGAACCATCTATCACCAGCACTATATCAGTCGGTCTACAATCTGAACGAGTATATATATATATATATTTCAGTGAAAAGACGGACGAGGTATTTTAAAGATAGAAATGGTATAATTAAGACATTTCCTTTCAATTCCCTAAAACCTTTTCAATCAATCACTACGATTTTCAGTTCATTGTATTGTGGATCTTGCTATTCTACCAATACTAAGCATTTTATGATGCATCTATAGCAAAGGTCCTAAGATATTATTAGCAGCTTTTGCAATAGTCAGGTCTTGTCCGTTTCTGTTTTTTTTTTAATTACAGAAGCCACAGACACCTGACTGAAAATTAGATTGATAAGAATAAATGGCCACGATACACATAAACATTATTTCAAGGTTACATACATTGCTACGAGATACGATACTTACAATTAAGTTTGGGAATGACACGACACTCGGAGTTAGCAATGTTGTTAAAAGTGGGTAAAACTGCATTGGTATCCGGAAGCGTGATAACTTGACTCGGACTGGATGCAATAGTTGCAAGTTCGTTTGAGTTGTAGAAGACACCGTTGAGTGAGGTAACACCGATGGAATACACAGTCATAGATACTGGTCCTGTCATAGATTTTAATTGAGCGACTTCTGCTGTTGGTATTGCTCCACCTCGAGACCGACCGGATGTCAGAAGAATGACAACTCGTGGAGCTGTTCTCTGCTCCTGGTCGTTATTAAAGAGATCGATTGCTCCGTTAATACCATTAGCTAGTAAGAGTCCTCCACCCAGAGGATTTGGGTTGTTGTTTATTTGCCTGGTTAAGTCGCCACGGTCTCCAGATAGAGGTATTTTAACGGTTTGAACATCATTGGTAAAGACCATCCCCACCCTGAAGGCATCGTTATAGATCTTGTTTTGTACAAGAAAGTTTTTGAGTGATTCTATAAAGTTTGTATAGACGTTGCCTCCCTTGGTATTATCCGACGAATCAACCACAAACACAACATCGGCGCCACAAACTGAAAATATATCAAAATACTAATGTACAACTTTTTATAACTGATATCCGTCAAAGAATATACTATACCAGGTTTTTTCAACCTTTTTCTTTCTTTTTACTATCCCTTTCAGTATCCTAGCTCAAATGCATTACCCCCCTTACCCCTACAAATCCTTACTATAACTCCCCTCCCCTCTATAAATCCTTACTATTACCCCCCTTCCCTCTATAAATTCTTACTATTACCCCCCTTCCCTCTATAAATCCTTACTATTACCCCCCTTCCCTCTATAAATCCTTACTATTACCCCCCTTCCCTCTATAAACCTTACTATTTATTCTGAGAGGTGGAACCCTTTTCAAACATTCGACTACCAATCAACAAGAAATACCATGATCATAACGAGTTTGAAAGAATGAAGGAGATCGAGTTACTCACGCCACTCCATCCAGGGCCGAGTCTCACCGCCATGTCATTCAACCCGACCAGATCTAACGAAGAATCAACAACCAAAATAAACAACACAGAATCATCCAATTTGATCCAATCCAAGTACCAACTACTACGACTATCAACAACTACCTAGTTTGTGATATCAGCATCCGCTGGAAGCGAACGTTAACTTGTCATCTACCTACCTACCTACCCTTTTCAAGCCAAAAGAATATATCAACATGGACAATTTAAACTTACGAGCATTTGATGTAGTTACTGCTGCTAGAGTTGTCAACCTTTGTGTAGTTGGTGATAAAGTGGTAGTAGTTGTTGGTGGTTGAGTGGTAGTGGTTGGTCGAGAAGTGGTAGTGGGAGCTAAGGTTGTAGGAGGCGCTGGTGTGATTTGTACTAAAATAGAGACAAGTTTGTAAACGAGTTATTGTTTTGATTATAAATAATAATAGGTTTTCAAGTTAGTTATCTATTTTCGCAAGCAGGGTCAAAAATTAGCTTAAGAGACGGAGGATGTAATTTGCCGGATAGGTCCCCTTTAGCTGAAAATTTCATGGTATAAAATTCTTAATTGTCAGAACTGGGGGAAACAGCTGCCTCTCCTGGCTTGTCCTATGCAGGGTTAGAATATCTGGTACTTACCATAAGTTTTACATTCCTGAAC